GGTGTGTGTGTGTGTGTGTGTGTGTATGTGTGTGTGACACATCGGTGAGTATGAGAGAGACTCTGTGGCCTGTGTCTCTATTTCTGTCTCTCTACGAGACTGTGGCTATCTGAGACAAAAATACGAAAAAGGATAGCAATATGAAGACATCAAGCCTAAATCTTGTGTGTGTGTGTGTGTGTGTGTGTGTGTGTGTGTGTGTGTGTGTGTGTGTGTCTCCTGACTACACAATCAACTTCTCTTATCCTTCTATGTAGATTGGCTCCATATTGGATGTTTAATATTTAATATTTATCTGTCCTCCCAGGGGACCAGGGGATTAGAAAAAGGTAGGAGGAAGCAATGTGTGCATAGACACAAACACACACACACACACAGAGAGAGAGAGAGAGAGAGAGAGAGAGAGAGAGAGAGAGAGAGAGAGCAAGTGTATACACAATCAGAATCTTTCATCAAAAAACACAAACACTCAATGTGCAATCAAAGTGCATACAAATGAGATGAAAATTTATTCAGACACGTAGCGTCAAAAACATTAAGTACACACCATGTTTGTGCAGACTGTACACACACCCACACCTCATTAGTGCTCAAACAATTAGTCGATTAATTGAATAACTGATTGATTATCAACTATGTTCTTAGCAAAGAATGTGCCAAATATATGCTGGTTCCAGCTTCTTAAACCTGCATTAACGAAGCAGCAGAAACAAGCTGTAAACACAGCAACATATTTGATATGGCAAACTTGTTTGCAAACAGTTGCTTATTTACACCTCCAGCACACACAGAGCAACATTAGTATTCACATGGTCATGTTTGAGTCAGCTCCTGATGAAGTGTAAGTCCAATATTCACTCTCACTTTTAGGTCAGTTTTTGGTCTCCACCAACTCCCGACAGAAATATAGGCCACTTAATGAGTCCCCTAACTTTGTCTATCTGCTGTTTGGTGCTGGGCAGGTAGTGTACAGTTGGGGGTTTTAGAGCTTGAAAATAGCTACCTGCTGTGTCTGGAAACAGTGCTGATGAGAGTGAGCATTGTGAAATCAAAAGTTCCTTATAGGTTTATCACTGAGAACGACCCCCTTTGCACACACATAATCCATTGTTAGTATTACAGTGTTGATTCAAAGCAGCATTAAATGTAAGAATTTCAATATCATTTGTTCATATCATCAGTTTTAGACATTGCATTTTCACAATTTTCTGTCATTTTATAATTAAAAAGAATATATGGATGAATCAATAGTGAAAAAAATTGTTAGTTGCACAATATACAGTATATTGCATTCTTAGCTCTATGCTTACACCATAAATCCACTGTTTTCATTAACATATGCACTTTGACACAGCAATCTACAGTATACTAACTGTATCTCTATTTTGTAATCTGATCTAATGTAATACACACAGCAGATCTGAACACATTCACAATGAGGGCTATCAGATAAGAATCATGTGCAAACTGCCATCCAGTGCATACAGAATTCATTCAAAGCCCTGTTTTATTATAGTGTAAGTGCAGGTCCATGCGTGTACATTACAGTACACATACTGTATGCATGCTTTCCCACATTAACATGCAGGGCGTCTAGTGGAGTACATTCCTTGCCACACACAATATGAAATGACATGCATGCAATCACATATACATGAATACACAGTGAGTCATTGTTATCTAGCTGGGTTTACTTACCAGCCAACCCCCCAATCACAGACACACTGACTCAGTTACTCGCTCATGCGAATGCTCAGTTTTTTCGTGGCTGCATGATAAGCAAAAAAGGTATTTAAAAGCAAATTATGTGTCAACCATTTCTGAATTTGTAGATTATGCAGAGGTAGCTATACCTTTAATATCTATGATTGTAAAACTCTCGACGATTACTCCCCTTGCAGATTATTTGGCGAATACCTTGTCGATTATTCAATTAATCGTCTGGTCTAATGTAAAAAAAAGTTCACAAAAATATAAATGGCAGAGGACAGCAAGAAACACACAGCCATACTGAAATGAAAGATGCTGACACAAAGGACATACAAGAAGAAAAGAAGGAGAGAGGGGAGGGTGAAGAAGAGACGCAGCATGCCAGGTCGTTTGTTGTTGGAAACAAAGTGCTCTTAAATGATTTACTTCTTCCCTGCATGTAAGTACAGTCCCTCATTAAAGAACAGCAGCCAGCAGACTTGCCTACTAGACTGCTGGATCGCAGACAGACCAAATCGTGCACAGACACACACACACACACACACGACTTCATGCACAAGCTGACTCCCAGTTATGCATTGTCAAACACACACACAGATGCATATGCACAAACACACACACAAACAGCAGGAACAGAGAGAGAAGTGGGTCAGACTAACCAGATCAGCCTCACTACATTTGCAGCATACATGGGGTCCCACTGTCTTGCATTAGATACTATACATACAGTCACGCACACACCACTTGCACACACACATAACCAGAGAAAATATGAATGTATTCTCCCACAAACATGCCCAAAAACAATGTATTTACTCCAGTAGAAGTAAACATATTTACTTTTGAGTGCAGCGCACACTCTGAGTTCCACATGTATTTACTCCCTTTGCTCAAACACATGAATACACAGAGGAGTTGCACATCGTTACAGATGCAATCTACAAATTCATTAACTCATAGCATAGCTAAATGAATGTGTTTACCTAAATCCCAAGCTCAGAACAAGATTTGGACCCTAAATCCCTCAGAAATACGTCGTGCAAATCTCTTTAACCGCCGTGACTGATATTTTCGCTTGGAGATTGATTTCAAATGTACATCAGCGCTCCAACACTGGAGATTTATATTGCTGCAGATGCACACAGATCCATCACATGCCCACACACACGTATATGATGGCAAAGCTCTATCAACAGGTGGAGTATCAGAGCCGAACCGTTGCAAACGCCAAACAAGACTGCCTTTCAGTAAACTGATGCCAGTGTTTGTGTACGTATGTGTGTTTCGAAACATTCATATTGAATACACACTCACACAAGGACATCCATTCAGATCTTGATGTCCGGGGCTGAGTGTAGCAGTGTTAAATGACGCCAACATCAGCAATGAAATCCCAATTTTCCCATCCAGAGAGCAAGAGAGGCCTGCGTCTTGTCACTCATGGAGAGTTAAATAAATGACTCAGCAAGCGAGAAGATTAATGGCAGGCATATTTTACACTGATGTTCCTCCTGCAAATAAACAAGCAGAAAGTGAGGGAGGGCGGAGGAGGAAGGAGAGGAGAGAGCAGGAGAAGGGAGGAGGAGGAGGTGTAGCGGGGTGATGAGATGAGGAGTGAGAGGAAAGTCTCCCATAAGAGCCTGTTTGTTTCCCCATCTGTTTACTGTTTCACTGTGCAGTTCTTAACCATGAGGCCGTTACACCACTCCGTCCGTTGCTGTTCCACTTAGCGGATGAAGGCGAGCATTGATGCAGAGGTTTCCATGTGGCTTCTTTTTCATAGCGCGAGTGTGAAATAGGAGCATGAAGTGGTGGTGCTCACCCGGGTGACGCATGGCAGCAGCCAGTGGGAGTATCGCGCTTAAAATTTCTTACTTTGGCACGAGTTCAGGGCCTCTTGTCTACAACACAAATCAATAGAGAACAGAGATTAGGGCATATTTACTTATGAGCTCAGTGATGGATATATTTTCCAACATACAGTAGCTATCTGTCGTGGTGCCAACATTTCTGCACGGGGGGGGGTACTCAGAAGATTTATTACTGCACATAATCTGAGCCATTATGACTAAACATCAGAAAGGAAAAGCCACAAAAATCCTGGTTTATATTATGTGTGACAGATGTTAAATATCATATATCAAAAGAAGTGTGTGTGTGTCGCCACACTGGCAGGCAATTTATTAGATTTGATTGCTATCATTGCTATATTTCAGAAGTTAGTGGTTGGTGCTTTTCTGTTGGCATCTTTCACAGATCAATATATTGCTTATCAGATTTTCTTTTTCTCTTTTGATCACTTTGCAGTTTACAAAATGTCATTTATGTGTGCTATTCTACGTGTGTCAGTTTTTAAATATTTTAAATGTGCATTGTTTGTTATTGAACCTTGTAAAAGGAAAATTCCTGTCGCTTTATGATAGATAATAAAGTTTTACTAGCTTATCTGAACATCCATCTGTGCATTAGCATATCAACACAAAATTCTCGTCTGACTTAATTCCTTATCTTACTGGTTTCAGACACACAGTGACTTTAAATCTTTGTTTTATTTTTAAGTCCAAATTCTCCCAGAAAACTTTTGTCTGTGTCTTTTTTTGGCCAACCAGAAGTTCACTCTTGAGAAGAATTTCAAATATCTTGGCATCTTTCTTAACTCAGAGAGAATATAAAAGAGCTGAATCGAAATCTATATTTTGGCAGTCAGATCAGGTCATATCTTACATTCTGTTTCTGATACATATTTTCATGTAGTTATATTTAAAAAGTCTAACTATCCTCCAATTTGGTCTCTTATGACCACAGAACTTATTGAACCAATTCTTAGACTCTCCAGTAGAGTTTGAAAGATTCATTTAAAACGTTCTCCCTGGAGGCATCCTTGAGTAGCGCTCTCAAAATCTGAAACTTTGACTCTCTATAACTACTCTATACAGCATAGGTATCCTTCCTCACTTTGCACTATCTTACCAAAACATGGGCGAATAACCAGAATGATCAGGAATTTAACCCCATACTTGTTTTTGGCTCAAGATCTTTTGTCTGTAAATATTCTAAAGTTTGGAATAAAATCCCTTGTCATATTAGAAAAACATATATATCTATATTTCCTTCTTCAGAATCAAAATGAATTTAATATTAACAGATCCTTACAACCAATATCTCATCATAGTATTAGCTTTTATAGATTTGTTGTATATATAAATGTTCTGCTGTTTTTCCTCCCTCAAAAATGTAAATACAATGAAATATATTGATTCATGTATTATAATTGTTCTTCTCTTTGCCAGGTTTGATTACCAGGAGCTCCTCCACAACTCCACCTTCTGTTTGGTGCCTCGAGGTCGACGCCTGGGCTCCTTTCGCTTTCTAGAGTCGCTACAGGTAAATCTATATTATTTATATGCGCAATACAGCATCAACAACATTCATTATTCGAGTCTTGTTTGCCATGTGATCTTGATATGACAAGAGATAGTTTCTGTAACTGAACCCCACCCAAAGGTTTGAAGTGGGTGGGGCAAAATGGACATCAAAGTGTTGTTCTTTATTTAGTCATGAATAGTTGAATCCAAGTTGTAGGCAGAGGTAACCACATTGTAATTCCCTGTGAAACACAAAATGTGTTCTGGAGACCCTGTAGAACTGTTTATTTTTATGTTTTGTATAAATCTATCCCAGTTTTAACAGTTTTTTTTTTTAATGTGACAGTATTAGCTGTTAGACCAGTAAACTTCGACTTTGGAAAAACCAAAAGTAAAAGCCTCTGCCCCATGAAATAAATTTGACTCTCATAAATCTCATGTTTTGATCACATTCTGAGCGACATGCTGACAAAGGACCGACCTGGGACCTCAATAGACCGAGCAGATCTGCTTACACATCACCGCCATTCCACTTGCTGGCTTGGTACTACGTTTCCAGGCCAAAATTCCACTTTTATAGTCTATATTTAACGTTAGCAAGCAAAGTTCAAGATGTGAAAAAAAGCTTTACAGGGCTTTTAGTTGCATGAGCCTGATTTGCCCATAACATAATCTACAAGTAATGATGATTTATATTCTTTGTAAAACGCTGCTGTGGCTCTCCAGTGTCTCTGAGGCCCACATAAACAAACTGAAATGCTAAAAAAAAAGGCTACGCACTACATGCCAACATAACACAGCAATCATCAGAACCTTAGCAGCAGCATTTCCCTCTGCACAACACAGAATGACCAAATTACACTTTTACAGGAAGCAGCTCTGATTCAATAAGATCCAACTTATATACAGTTTAGTCAACAAGGAAGTGCACAGGAAGCTGAATGTTTATGTTTCAGAGCCGTGGTTTATGTAGTCTTTTGGTTATTGACACCTTAATGGTCACATCTGCAAGTGTTTTCCCCAGACCATTGTGTTGTGTTGAGTGCAGATCTAGCCATAAAGGCTTTATTTGCTATTTGCTAGGCCTTTTAAACCCAAATGGGTCCATTAAAACATGCGGACGCACACACTTATACAAACACGGGTATCGCTCATTTAAGTCCATCAGTGAAATGTGCACAGTACACAAACAATGAAGAAACCACAAGCAGTGGAGTGAGAGAACAGTTTAAACCAGTCGGTCTCCTGTAAGCTCTCTCTCTGCCACCCAAGTCGACAGTCTCACACCAGTGCAGGAAGCAGTAGTGGCTGTTTTTAGATCTGCCAAACACTGAACTCTCTGGCTGCTACAATGTTCCCTGGCCGCGATGCTCTCCGGGGCTGTGTGTGTGTGTGTGTGTGTGTTTTTTTTGTGTGTGTGTGTGTGTGTGTGTGTGTGTGTGTGTGTGTGTGTGTGTGTGTGTGTGTGTGTGTGTGCATGAATGGTCCGGAAGCATCCATAGGAATGGCAGCCTGCCCCACCGCTGATGTCTGCTGAATGGACAAATCCAGACACAACCATCCACTTGGCTTGGCAGCAGTCATGGTCCCCTTCTCCTCCTGTCTTCCTTCTTTGTCCTCTCTTTCTCTCTCTCTCTCTCTCCCTCTCTCTCTTAGTCTTGTCTTCCTCTCTCTTTTTCCATTCAGGGCACTTTTCAGGATTTTTCTGTTGTTTTTTTTTTTTTTTTTTGGTGCCAGCCAAGCCCACAAAAGAACTGGCAATTACCAGTGTGGTAGGAAACTTACTGCCAGCTTTCCAATATACACACAGACACACATTTGCACACTTCCCCACATACACATTTACTCAAAGCCTTCCCCGTCTTCATCTCCCAATGCAAACAAACCAAAAACAACTACACAGCACATAGGCTTTCATATTACCCTACCTCCAGGCAGGGAGTGCTTGAAATGTTTGAAACTCACCCTCAGAGGGAGGGGGGAAAACTCAGGCAAGCCTCAGGCTGCGTTTCAAATTTAGAGGCCATGGATTATCACTCTGGGGGTCTTTGTGTGACCTTGCTGTGACCTGGGGATGATTCTGACACATACACACACATACAAGTCATCCTATTTGCTGGAGTGTCCTTCAGCAGGTCTATTCTCAGATGAAATTCAGGAAAATTGGATGCCCCGGTGGGCCGGAGAGAGCGTTTGATCTCCACCACTTTCGGCTGCTGCTGCTGTTCTCTGGTGGTATAATTAGAAAAAAGTGGAAAAAAAATAAAACCCAGACCGATCAACACTCCAGACCACAGTGGGTAGAAAGAGGAAGAGAGCAGGACTGGATGAGAGAGAGAGAGAGAGAGAGAGAGAGAGAGAGAGAGAGAGAGAGAGAGAGAGAGAGAGAGAGAGAGAGAGCGGGAAGGGGGGAGACCAAAGGAGGGTTCAGAAAGCAAAAAAAAGTGGAACAACATCAAAAACCTGTCAGTGAACGAGGAGATAAGGCAACATCAAAAATCCACTTCAATAAAGCATGATGCCTCTATGTATCAACCGGTTCCTTCTTATTCTCCTCCCATCCCCTCATTCCTCTCTTTTTTCCCCTCAGTTTTCCTCCTTCCCTGCATATGTCCCCTCAGTGGTTGTACCTAATTAGTACACAAAGAGTCAGCGCTGTCAGCCACATCTGTGTATGAGTGACAGTCTTTAACAAACCTCCAGGGCTTCCTGGGAAATGAGAGATTGGAGTTGTTACTCATTCCAGCCACCCTATAGGGGTCTTACACACACACACTCAGCTGCACATACATTTACACACAAGAGCATTGATCATATTATCTGCTCAGCCTGGGATATCACAGTGCCAAGCAGCTGGGACTGAACTCATACAGATTGTATTATATTAATGCAGCTGCAGTATGTCATGTTATGTTGTTTACTGCCAAAGAGGAGCCGGCAGCAAGGAAGGAAGCCAGTCAAACTGCAGCTGATCACAGATAAAGTCATATATATGGAATTTTCTGTGTGCTCTACATGCTATCAGTTGGTTTATCAGTGTCACTGCCTCTCTAAAACTCTTTAAATTCTTGTGTGTGTGTGTGTGTGTGTGTGTGTGTGTGTGTGTGTGTGTGTGTGTGTGTGTGTGTGTGTGTCTAGGCGGCTTGTATTCCAGTCCTGCTGAGTAACGGTTGGGAGCTGCCGTTCTCTGATGTCATACAGTGGAACCAGGCAGTCATTGAGGGAGATGAGAGATTACTACTACAGGTAACACACAGCGGCATTTTCTCACACTCATTCACAGGTGCACACTTAAACAGACACACAACTAGGACACCCTGATGGCTGGATTTTCCCTTTAGTGTGTCCAGGGCCTCAGCATGCCACTGGACCATTACTGTACTTTCAAAAATAAAAATAAAAACATTTGGGAAAAGTGCTATCACCAGCAGGTGGTACAAATCCAACAGAACAGAACAGCCACAATGAAACACATTTTTATTGGTGTATTTAAAAGAAGAAGTGGTTTATTGGTTGTTGTGGGCCATCTGAACAGCAGGTTTCTGTACAGTTCTACACAGTTACAGTTTTTTGGACAAAACGTGTTAAAATATTTATTATGGAAGGATGAGCAATTTTCAATCAAGTTTTATGTTGGCACATAACCCAAAAGTTGTTGTGCTTCAGTTGTGTTATAAATTAGGTCATCTTGTGTTGAGCAAACCTCGGAAGATGCTTCCAGTAATAAAAATAAATGGACAGAAAATGCAAATGAGTTGCTGACGCTGCACCACATTAATTAAAGTAAATTCGAAGAATCAATAAATAATGAAACAAGACACAAAGGCCTGTCTACAGAGGAGGTCTCTCAGCCTTGTGCTCATCCGTATCACGCGCATCTGACAGAACAGATACGCTTCTATTTTCAACCAATACAGTGTACAGTTGTCTACACATAACGGCTCATATTTCACTCGCCGTGACCTGAGGCATAGGTTTGAGCTTCAAGTCTACTTTCCTTTGTTTTATGCATGTAGGAAGAAGAAGATTTACTGTATTATTCCCCAATAGACCTTTTTCACAGCAGCCATTTTGACATGAAATAGTAGGGTAAACACAGGTGTTACAAATGATACTAATTAAGATTCTGTTTATTCAGGTCAAACTGAGTCAGGGTGCTGCTGTTGCGAATGTTGGCTCACTGGAAAGACTCTAAATGGAACAGAGCCTTATTTAGTATCATTGGTATCACCTGTGTTTACCCTACTATTTCATGTCAAAATGGCTGCTGTGAAAAAGGTCCATGGGGAAATTCTCTTTTCTCTAGATGTTTTTTACACACTTTCCCTGAACTACAATCGCCTACACACAGGGCTGAAGGACCTGCAATAAATGCCTTTACATATTGTAAATTGTAAAAAGCAAAATAATGATCCCTCTTAATGGGGTAATTTCACAAATAATCAAGGTCAGTATTTTCCTCCTATAGCATATAGAGGCTTTACGTTGGGTTAAATGTAGGCATAGTGAGTGGAAGACGTTGACCATGCACGGCTACAAAGCAGCTATAGAGAGTGAAACGTTCTATTCCAGATGTAAGAAAACTTCATTCAAAATCCCACTGACCTTTGCAACTACACTAACAACTAGAACTACACCTTTGAAACTAGCTTCTCTCAACAGTATACTGTGTGCTTGCTACAGATGTTAAGATGAGTAAGGTCGTTTTTTTCTTTGAAATGTTACATTTTGGCAGAAGAGGTAAATCCATGAGCGGGATGAGGGGCTGAGGTTAGTTCAGATGTGTATAATAATAACAGGGCAGAGAGGAGCAAAACATTGCAAACGTTTTCAGGCCAAGATTGCAACTAGAACGTTGAAAAATGACTTTACTGGAACGCATTGGTGAGTTTTGTGGATATAATGGATAAGTGCTTTAGAGCATGCCGATTTGTCTCAGAATATGGAAAGTAAACCCCAGAAAAACACTTTGGTCTTTTAGAAAGACAGATGAAAGCAATGCAGAATGAGAGATTTCACTGAGTTACAGAAACTAGCAGTACAGAGGCTAGTCCGGACGTGATGGCAGGACTGCGGCTCTTTATTACTTGTATCAAACGGTGCAGTTACAGGTTGGGGCCCTTTGAGATTAAACACCCACAGAGGCCTTAATCCAGCTTCAGTTCAAAAGCGCTCGCTCATCCTCTGTGTCTCTTCTTGCACATACACACGCACACATCCACACAAATAAACACAATGAGAAAGCCGGATCACTCTCAGCTACAACCTTTATCTCTCTCCCTCACACGAATTACATCATGTCTCCTCTGCATTGATCCGCTTCGATCTCGACCAATAGAGGACACAAATTGGCATTCAGCTAATGAGCAGGAACAAGCCCCCCCAAAGAGCTCAGAGCGGAGACATTTTCAAATGATGGCAGAATTGGATTGTATCAGCTGACCTCATCAGTAGCATTCCTGCACACCTTGAAAACACTCGCATGGAAATACACATTAAATACACACGTACAAATATTCACACTGTCTATGATCTGAGGTTAAGGAGTGTTAGGCTTTGGAAGAATAGGCCGAGTGAGGACAGACACTTCAGACAACAGCGCTGCATTGAAGCTGTCTTTCAGATGGAAGAGAAAAGAAGAAAGAGAAAGGGAGAAAGAGAGAGCAAGGTGAAGTAATAAATAAGAAATATAGGGGTATGTGAAGAGAAACTGAGAGGTTGAAAGATCAAGAACAAGAATTTTTTTAAAAGAAAAAGAGATCTAGAGACCTCCTGTTTTTTTTTTTCAAACTGCCGTTCATTAGAAAATGTGTTAGATGTGTGAAGACAAAAGGGTTTAAAGGAGCCAACTGCTCACACTTTTCTCAGTTCAACATGGCTTTCTTCCACTTTGATTGAACCGCTGAGCTTAACTGTCTTTAAGTGATTAAATCAATTTTGGTGATTTACTCGAAACCCCCAATGTAGTCTTTACTAATTAAGATCTAATTATCTGAACAACAGACCCAAACCCAAACCAGCTCTGTGTCAAATGTTTTTTTTTTTAGGGGGGAAGATTAAGCAACCATTCCATTCAGCTTACGCAATTTTGATCATTAAATGCCATGTTCTCCTTTTTTCTTTTCCCCCCTTTTTTTAAAGAAAGGGGTTGTTTTTAAAAAAAAAAAAAACACTTTTTGCCCCCCCCCCCCCCTGTTCTCCTTTTTATTTGTTTTTCCCTCATCCATTGTTTTCTCATCTTTTGTCCTCAGGTGCCATCCACGGTGAGAGCAGTCGTAAATGAGAGAGTCCTGGCCCTCAGACAGAGGACCCAGATGTTGTGGGAAGCCTACTTTTCCTCTGTGGACAAGATAGTCCTCACCACACTGGAGGTCAGCCTCGGCACAGCACACACTCAGCATAGTAGCACAATAAAATTCATCCACGTGTCTTTGCTAACCTCTGCTAGCCAGCTGGAAACATGCTCATAATAGCTTCCCGAGCTTTCTATTTTGTCTGTACCGTCCCCCACTCCCGGAATTTTGTTCTTGGGATTGTACAATATTTCATTCAAAAATTTGTTATTGAAGGGGCTCATTTCAGATAACGGTGTAGAAACCATCCCTCTTTTGTAGAGAGGCGTATAATGCGGCAGAGGAGGGTTAAATAAAAATGGATTGCTACAATAGTCCCCTCAATTTCAGATTCTTCACCTCTCTGTTCCCTCAAAGTTCAGCATTGTCAACACGTCTGCTATTGGGTCAAAATTCCACCAAAACTGAACTTAATGCAATAAAATCAATCAGAATTAATTGATATTACCTTAACTCGAGTAATAAGTCAATAGCTACAACTGGCTGTATCATATAAAATCTTAGCTTTGACCCCCTTGTTCCACCAGTAAGACTTCTCTCTCTATCGCAAACACTCATGGGTAATGTTGCTTTTGGCTGTTGAGTATTGGCTAGAACCCTAATTGAAATGTTTTATAACCCTGAATACTCCTACCATACAATTCTGCTCAGGAATGTGCAGCAACATCCAGTGAAAACATCTACAAAAAGGAAGCCACTGCTGTAAACACAGGGTTTCTGTTGAACACACAGCCTTGCTACATCTCTGCGGTTTACTGCTTGTGTGCTATCATCAGTCCTCTTTCAGAAGGGTTTTCACATTTGAATCAAACCACCCCTTCTATCGTTATGATTATGGGGTTGGATCTTGGCCCATGCTCTTCCGATCTACTCTTTTACTATCTCCGCTGTGTGTTGTACTACAGGTCCCGGGGAACATTTCAAAGCTGTCCACATCCGATCCGCCTGAAGTCTCAGAGAAATCCCCTAATGTATAGAAATGATATATTATTACGTTGGAAATATCAGTCTCAACCTGTTAGTTTCTGACTCACTGCTCACTATTATTAGACTATGAGAAATGTTTCTTTTTCAGCGCTATAGATCTAGTTCAGAGGAAGTTTCATCTTTGACTCATTGCAGGAAAAAAAACAGAGCTACTTGGTTTATTGCCCTGATTTTCATAGTTCTAGCTTTCTGTCTTGCTCATACATATATCTTTCTCTGTCCTTCTTTTGTTTTACTTTACTGTTTGAATGAGCTGAGAAGAAATGTACTTCAAAGGTAGTTGCTCCAGCGAAGAGAATGTCATTTGAAGGTTAGCCTAAGGTTTAGACAATGCACAAAAAGAAATAACAACCTCCTTATATGAGCAGTTTTGCACACAGCGCCAGTGTCAATTTTAGCAAGTAAAAAATGTGGGGAAACAACAGATTTAACCCATCTGAAATCTTAAGAAATCACACAGTGAGTGGTAGGCTTTGGACTCTGGTGTTTATAAAGGCAACTCTGGTAGCCCCTAGTGTATTTACTGCTGGGGATTTATGCTAGAGATAATAAAGGAGAGGTTCTGGAGGTTGGTGATAAGCTGCTTATATACATACAGCATGCAGAGGGGAACCTCTCCCCATGGGAGACAGCTGTGCAGTCAGCCTGAGGTCAGTGAGGCAGAGGGCTTCAGAGCAGATGCTGATGTTGCTGCTGTGTGGACACCTCCTGTTGGTGTGAAACGGGAAGTACACAGGGCATATCATTAGGGGTTGCTTGAATATGCAAACACAAGTGTATCGGGTCTCGAATTGCAGCGGAGTTTGAATTAAGCTCCAAGACACTCATCAACCGTTTTAGAGGGGGAAAAAAAGAGAATGTGTTGGAGGCTTATACTAGAAGAGCACAGCAGCCACGTCACCATGAAGGCGAACATGGTCTCTCTGCTTCTGACATTGCAACCCACATCCTTTTTTTTTCTCTCCCCAGATCATAAAGGACCGTGTGTTCTCTCACATATCGAGGAACAAGTACATGTGGAACTCCCTGCCAGGAGGTCTGCTGGTCCTACCGGAGTACTCCACTCACCTCGCACATTTCCCTTTCTACTACCTGGGATTAGGTAAACAAATACTCAATATAAATGAGCCTGCGCAACATGCAAATCGTGATTGCTCGGGATGGTGATGAGACCACAGTATTATCAGAGCTGTGGAGGTAGAGATGAGTAATCAGCACTCATAAATCTTAATGAAATATTTACTAAAGTCCTTGTTGGTATTAGTTTTAATTTTGCAAACATGTTAAAATGAATGTAACAAATAAGGTTTGTTATTGTTTCAGTCTATTTAAAGCCACATTTGTATGTGACTGACATTTATTATATTATTCTAATGGTAATTTATGGATTATGTTAAGAAACAATGGCTTTAAATTGTTCTGATAATACTTGATGGACTAATGCAGATACACTTTATTTTTCTGGTATTGAAGAGCACCTAATAAATATTCAAACCATCATATTCTTTTTTTCATTACCTTGTTCAGGGGTCATTCCAGGTCAGGAATTCACCGCTGTCATCCACGCCGTCTCTCCATTGGTCTCCCAGTCTCAGCCAATCATGAAGCTGCTTCAGGTGGTCTCCAAGTCAAAATACTGCTCGCAGGTAAATAAGACAAACTATGGGAGGTTATGGCAGAATTAATTATAATGCATTACACTGTTTCAACACATGTAAAGTCTCCCACACTATACGCTGAAGCAAAGAGCTTACAATGATATTTTAATGAGGAGTTCTGGCTATCTGTGTATGTGTTACATAAAATTCACTTTCCCTGCTGCATTAGATCATCATTCTGTGGAACAGCGAGAAGCCGCCACCCAGTCGGAGCAAATGGCCTCCCATGCCTGTCCCCCTCACTGTGACAGACGGCAGGAGGAAGGTGAGGACCAATGACGTCTGACTGACAGCATGACAAACTGTCAGTTGCTCAGTCTGTTTATGCATCTCTTTATTCCACTCTATCTCTCTTACTTGATTTCTCTGGTCCTTCTCCTTGATACATATTTTTTCTGTCTTTCTTCCTATCCATGTATATCTGACATGTCCACCGATCCGTGTGGCGTTCGCTTTCATAAATGTCACTCACTCTCAACATTTCCTGCCCGTCTCTCGTCTTTTTTTTTTTTTTTTTTACTCCCAAGGCAAAATCTATAGTGATTCACTCATCTCAGTCACTTAGCGTGATGTACTGTAATATGATCATATCTCACTTGTTCTCATAATCTCTCTAGGCACAGGCCGGACAACACATAGTCTACAGTACCAGAACTAATATTTACTACTGTATTTCTCTCTCAGACCACCAGTCGGTTCCTACCTCATGTTGCCATAGAGACAGAAGCAGTGCTGAGTCTGGACGAAGATACAGTCCTGCTGACCAGTGAGGTGTGTGTACACCTGTTATTCATAAACACACAGTAGAACTGCACACAAATCAATATTCCTGAGAAAGTTGCAGCTATGTCAAGTGTTCCATATCTTCACTCGTAGGTGAACTTTGCCTTCCTGGTGTGGCGGAGCTTCCCTGAGCGGATCGTGGGCTACCCACCCAGGAGCCACTTCTGGGATCCCCTGAAGCGTGCCTGGGGCTACACCTCTAAATGGACCAACGACTACTCTATCGTCCTTACTGGAGCTGCCTTCTACCACCGGTACAACAGCAGACTGTAGCAAACTTAATAGAAACTGCTATTAAGAGCTACATATGCATTTTTTTTTTTTATATATATTTTGCCTCTTAATATGGTCTATTTATCATCTGAAAACAGCCATGCAAGCTGATCCATGAGGAATGAGGATGTACTGTTCAGCAGGTGTATAGTTTACCATGCTAACATGTGGGTTTAGTCCTAAAGTACAGCTAAGGCTGAATGGCAGTAGTTGGATAAAGTGAAATGTTGACCTGACGATGGCGTTAAAATAAAAGTCACAAGATCACCAAAGTCAGAACCAGTTATCTTGAGGGGGACATGAATGACTGTACCAAATTTTACAGTACTCCATCCAACAATTGTTGAGATATTTCACTTAAAACCACACGTCAACCTCATGGTGGTGCCAGAGGAAAAGTCATCAGGCTTCATAATCTGGGAAACATGAATGTCTTTGGCTATAAACAGGAAAAACTGATTTCCTTTCAGAGATCAACAGCTGAAAACGAGGGACAACTTGATGAACAGCAACGGCAGCGAGCATAAAGAGATAAATCTTGACATAAAAAGGGGCAATCGTACAGGATAAAATAGAATCGAGGATAAATATGTGTATGTGTTAGCTAGAGGAAAAGAAAAGGAGCGGGTCAATTACTCAGGGATTACTTCAGGCAGTTTGATTAATACCAAAATCCTGAAGTCGATATGTGCAATGGCAGAGGGATGTGAGTTCTTATACAGAATGAATGTAATTACTCCTGAGTCAGGGTACTTTAAAAGCTGTTGAAACCTTGCAACATTTTGAGACAAAGTGGTCATTTTTTTTGTCAGCAGTTTCTATGAAAAAACATTTAATTCTATACTAATTTGAATCTTTACGCCCCATTGGTGAAGCCCACTGATATTTCCAAGGCCCATCTGCATTACCTCGTATGCCTCAAAATGTTTAACCACTTAAACAGAGAAATGACAATGAGTAGTCAGTTAAACCCTGCCTTTCTCATTGTTAGAACCCTCAGTTTAGTCTTTTGCATGCAAATTATCTAATTACTTACTGTATATTGTATTGGTAAAATGATGTGACAGCGCACTAAATGGCTTTTTCACAATAGTGCTGCTTTGCAGAAGAAAAAAAAAAAAGAACTCATTAAATATGAGAAAATCCAATAGGAAAGAGAAGCAACTTCCCAGAATCAATTGTGTCAACTTACATAAAGTTAATCGTGGTCTGTTTTAGTTCCTAAGCACAATTAAAACACATTAAAAAGAAGACAGTGAGAGGTGCTAAGTCTGACAAATGTAATGCAAAATTACCAGCTGAATAGGAAGCACTGAACTCTAGTGTCCAGTCTGAAAAACTGAAGGAATGGAGAACATATGCATTGTACCACAGGGGTTTAGTTTGTTGTGCACTATAAATATCAAATCCCACGGGCAGTGAAATGGTTAACTTGTCCCAGATACATATCATCAACATACATCAAACCATCGTCTTTTCTGTTGATGTTACCATGCCCGTTACCATACCCGTTACCATACAGGTGCTGGCTGCCTGGCCCTCCACCTGTGATAAATTGTGTTCATACATTTTTATTTTATGTGTTTAGTTGATGTGCTTGTCTATAGAGATTTACTGTACTGTGAGTGCAAGTACAAGTACTAATAATAGTGAGACAGAACATCAGGGTTTGACAAAATATCTCTGCGAGGGTAATAATAAGAGCAATGTGTAATAGAGGTGCTAGATTAGATGAGAAAATAACATTTCAGTCATTTCTTCTCTTTTTTTACAGAAGGATGCCCATGGATGATTTTATAAAAGCATGTGGCAAATGCACCATGATCCTGTAGTTAATTATTTGGTCAGGAGGTAGAAATTGTAGTCTTATAAGACAACGACTTAACTTTTGAAAATAATATCAACATGATATATAAGAAAATACAGCAGTGTCTTTTTTTGCTTGAGAAAGCTGGTTAAGTTTTGTCAACACGTCTTTGATTTCAGTGGAATTATCAGTTGCTATTCTCTTGTCAAACAGAAATATGAAACAGGGTGGTAAATCTCTCACAAAAAAACAGTTGTTACACAAAACATAGAACTAATTAAATTTTTTAACTTATAATTACTTTTTTCTTCCAATTTCTATCTTTATATGATAAGTTCATGAGCTTTGCGTTTCACAGCTGTGGACAAACGAAGCAGTTGAGGGAACTGAACCTGTGATCTCCGTGTTAGTTACTGCATGTGATTAGTGACCACTAAGGCTGATCCACTGTCCTCTTTACTTATTATATTTTAATTACAATATACTTATGCCTGTATAACACTTTGACCTGCCCCCACCCCTCCCCCAGGTACTACCACTACCTGTTCTCCCACTACCTGCCCCAGTCTTTGCGGACTCTGGTGGATCGCACCTCCAACTGTGAGGACATCCTGATGAACTTCCTGGTCTCCGCTGTAAACCACCTGCCGCCAATCAAAGTGGCTCAAAGGAAGCAGTATAAAGAGTTGCCCAGTCCACAGGTAGGTAACCACTGGGCTTTCTCAGTTGTGTTTTTAATGCTGTCGGGTCAGGACCAGGCGGTGAATAACTGTGTCTTGTTCTACCTCCTAGGGTACAAAGAGTGTCCCCTGGGCCAACCCGGAGCACTTCAACCAGCGGCAGGAGTGTGTCAACACCTTCGCCAACTGGTTTGGCTACATGCCTCTGGTCCACTCTCAGTTTCGCCTGGATCCCGTGCTCTTCAAAGATCAAGTGTCTGTCCTCCGAAAAAAGTACAAAGACCTGGAGAGAGCATGAAAATGACAGAGAAAATAGAAAGAAAGGCTGGAAAGGGCCAAGGTCTGGTCTAGTGGCCTTTTGGACAGACAAATGGACCAATCAGTGGTGGGCAGTCAAGATAGGACACTCAAGACTATTGAGATGTGGACAAAGTGGCTGAGCGGTCCATTTGATACATGGACAAGGTACAATCATCAGACAGACCCTGGTGGACTGCTCTGGACTACATACATATAAATATGAAGAAGGGCCTATAAAAGTTTAAAAGGAGCTTCAAATGATTCTCCTACCTCCATAAGTCTGGTGAGACAACGGAGTAGGACATTTAGGGGCCTTGAAAGAGTCCCTGTAATTGGGCCTGTCGCTGAGAAAGGACACTCTCTATTGGACAGCAAAAAAAAACGGAACACTTGAACACTTCCGATGTCAGTGCCATTGCTGTGACAATGAAAAAGGGAATGGCTATCTCATGCCAGATGCACCCAAGGGACTGGTATTGGTGCCATGCACTCCAGTTGTCAGTGTGTGTCTCAGCATTATTGTGCAGGGACTGTTGCCATGGAAACTGATCATTTCACATCAAGATGCTAAATGTAAAACCAATAAAATGATTTATAAATGCAAACTTATGGTGCCGTGTTAAGTTTTGTTTTCCTTATCTTTTCAAGGAAGTCCAGGACATACATATTCAGTAGAGCTGAAGGAACTAGATTGCCTTATGAGATATTTTAAGATTCTGAAGTAGCAGAGCACATCAGTGAGGATAATAGTAACTGGCTAGTAACTGGTCCTGTAACTCTGCATGTACCAGGAAGTCAACAGGGAATAATAGGAAGAATGAGATTATCAACAGTTTTCTTACAATCCTGAAAAAGTAGAAATTTCATTAATTTAGTGAGGAATTGGCCAAAACAGACTGGACTTCATACTGGTCTTATATACACAATTTAATGTACTATGCATTGATCATCCTTTAGCAGATCCATCAGTCTTAACTGTTACTGCAACTATTTTAATATACATTATGGATTAATCGGATGATTCTTTCCTCAAATTAAATCAATGTATCGTTTGTTCAATAAAATGTCATAAAACAGTAACATTTTCAAATTGCTTTTGACCTACAGTCCATAAACATTATTCAATTTGCAATCATAGAAAACCCACAAAATCCATTTGAGAGGCTGCAATATGTCAATGTGTAATAATTTCAGTTATCAAATTGTTTGCAAATTAAATTTTGTTTATTTACATGTTATAATTTTACTGTCAACTAAGCATATTCCTACTTTTTTTAAATTCTAGTTGATTGTTGAAAATTACCACAAGCCAATTTCATATTGTGTAAACATACGCCGCTCATATAAACTGAGACAAGCACATTGTCCTATACGATGGGTACACTGACAGAACGTGGCGTGTAGCTTCCACTGTTGAAATCTCAGAATTTTATTTTTATAGCAATCAATTTAATGGAGACCCTTTTGATTGAATTAGCTGTGAAATTATTCCAAATATAATTACAGCAATCAAACGCGCTGCTCAATAATGTCGTCCGTGTTTTTGTGACTCTGGGATTCTTATTGTCTTTGATGCAGTGTTGTAGTGGAGGAGACCTATACTGACAAGCGGTTGTAAAGAAAAACAAAGGGTCAGGGTCAGAATATGCATCATTATGTGTTGGTGGATATGCCTTGGTGTATTTATCACCTCCATTGTAAAGGAGCTCATGCATTCCCACATCAGCCCTCGGGGGTTGGAAATGACACAACGGAGCGCATGCTGTAAAGTCTGAGCTGGCCCATCCTGTATTTAGATGGAAGGCTTTAAAGTATATGTTCAGAAATTTTGTTTAAAAAAAAAGTTTATTTTATACAAAACAGAAATGACCCAATTGGCCTACCCCTTGTCCCACAGTTTACAAAAATAAATTCACAGGCAAGCAAGTCTCAACACCCTCAGGGTAAACAGGTGTGCTGTCTAGCACTCAGGAAGCTAATCTCATTAAGCACATGCACACACACATACACACTTATGTACAAAGCACCTGAGATACATAGCTGCCAAGGGGCTAATTTGAATTCTGAACCCATAGTGTTTTTACAACTGACAGAGCAAAAAAAAAAAAGGGAAATTGTTCCTATTGTAAACACTGTCGTAAGATCAGCTTCTGTGCTTTCTGGAAGAATTACCTGCAATGAATTCAAGTCTGTCTGGTGTCGAGTCAGCACCTGGGGGCAACACACCATGAATACTTTGTTCAAAGAGAACTTTTTTTTGTTTGTCTTTACCTGAGGCATTACAGGTTTCCACTCATTATTTAAACTGTATGAAAACAGGAGTCCATAACTTATTGACATAAACACAGAGTGACAAAATAATTGTGAAACACTTTTCAAACAAAAACTGGGTTGTCAGCTGCCTTGTACAAAGACACAATGATTCTTGGAACTGGAGTGTATCAGGTTGACTTTTTTTTTTTTAGCTTTCATGCTATCTCATTAATCATTTCCCCCACAACAATTTCAATATAATACATAATAAAACAGCAGAAGTTCTTGGGTGACTGTGAGTTTCAGTGATGAAGAGCCAGCGCAAAGGAGATGTACCTAAGTGAAAGGTCCCATATTCAAAATCATATGTAAATTCCCTTATTTCACCTGGTCTTTGCCATTATGCAGTCCTCATGTCTGCAGGGAATCGCTCTCTTAAAAAAAAAAAAAAGGAAGAGTGGATGTACTGGAATTATCATTTCCTTAGCGTCAACATGGCATTGACATCCCACAGAAGGTTTCTCATCTGATCCATCAGAACCTTCATCTCCTGGTTCTTCTGACGTACCTTCTGCAGGTAAACCAGACAGACACATGACGTTCATTAGTAAAACTCCTTAAAGTACATGAGCCAGTAGTTTGAGCATTTAACATTCTTACAGTCTTAAAGGACACCCGTTATGCTTTTCCTTAGTGTCAAATAATGAGGTAAAAAAATTAAAGTAATTCCTGTGAGCAAAAAAACTCAGCATTGGATAAGTTAGCAGCATGGCTAACCAGCCAACCACCTAAGGCTATATTATCATCAGAAAACTCTGTCAGTCACTGAAAGTTGAAAGCCAGAGGACATAAAAAGGAAAACCAGAAAATATTTTCACTATAAAATATGATCCAGTTTCACTGAAATCAGTAAATTAAGCTAAAAAAAAAGTTGTGTTCCTCTGTACAGTAATCAGTGAAGCCTGGTCCCCAAAAATAAACAAAGTTGGCCAATCAGAAGAAAGTGGGCCTATAGGTAGTAGGGGGGCTTAAAGAGACAGAGGATGAACTGAGGCGCTGCATGAAGGACCAGTATGAGATAAATAAGACCATTTTTGACGTGAATCATGCAAAGCTTCTTTATAGGAGTATCAGACTAAGAATTTAAAGCTGGAAATGAGAATAATAGGTCCCCTTTAAACAATCAGGACAGAACTCTGTTTACTCAAAATAAACATGAATTAAGAGTTATTTACAATTATACCTGCCAGGGGATTTTAAGAGTAAAAAAAAAAGACACTTTTGCGACTAAGGTCAATAAAACTAAAGAGCTTACGAGCCTCAGGCAACATTCTACCCTACTTTGCCGTTGGCTGCCTGGTGGCAAATACCTGAAATCTTCCTCCCAATGGCATAATGGCTCCAATGTTTACAAAAACAAAACCCTGCTTTTGAACAATTACTTGAGCTGCACATGATGCATGTTTTCTGCATTTAAGCCACACCACCAAGGGGTACTCTTGACTTGTGTCAGCACTGCCACCTAGAGGCATCTGCAGGGGATTTGCTCACTAAAATGTTAAATATTGTGTCTTGCTCAGTGTTCTTTCAGAGCCCAGTGGGAAGTCCACTTTAGCCTTGCCACGCAGTAACATTGTGTCACAGAAGTAAACTGTTATTTAAGAAGTTGCAGCAGTGTTGGACATTAAATGATAAATATATTTTGCTCCACCAAGAATCACTTAAATATTCGGCAACATGAGACATATTCCAGCAATGTATTGTATTTATTAGTGCATGCTTTAAGGAAGCATACTTGTATTGCAATCTAACAACAGCATAGGGTGCTATACTGTCACTTTACTCCCTTTTCCAATGGAGAGAAATGTGTGTGAAGCCCTGCTAATTATTACTTGTGACAAAAAGGTAACAGGAACATACCTCTAGAACCTCTTTTCTCTCCTGGTTAACAGCAGAACTGCAGGGCTCCACTTTGACAGAAACCAGCTCCTCCCCAACATATGGCAGTATCTGAGAACACAAAATACATACAAATGAGGTTCTTATCCCCTCCTGTTTAAAATTGCATTGGATTTTGATACTGCAAGAAGATATTGTAAGAGTGTAACATAAAGCAAAGCATACACTGCAAACACATTCAGTCAATCCCTGATCAGATGATAGAAAAAGTAAAAATCCTTTTTGTGTGTCTCACAAGCTTTATTTTATATTCGGAATAATATTTATCCCTGACCTCTGCTGGCCCCTCCTGTAGGTCAGAGGTCATCTCCACACAGCGTTCGTACAGAAGCCGGAGCTTTCTGAACAGCAGGGCGAGCTGCCGCAGGTGTTCCTGGAGCTTCCCAAAGCGGTCCTGGTACATCGCCTGGCTCTGGGTCACACCATTAGGAAGCTACACCAAAGACACACAGCGTCTCTCATCAGTTTAAGTGTTGTTTATAAGACATACGAGCCTGTGAATGGTGATGTGTTAAGCCTGCATTCAAATACATGACAATTTAGGAGTCCATGGTCCTGATGCTGCTTTTTTGCGCTTAGAGTTTTCAGTACAGGAGAAAAAAAAACTCACTCAGTTTAATGGACAAGGACAAGCTGGGAAAGGTGAGTTATACACTGAGAATGTGACAGAGAGAGACAATTAGAGACACAGATCAGGTGGAGATGGGAGAATGAGTGAGACAGATGCCGACAAGCATTCCAAGCAGATGCCCCAGAAAGGCGGATGGGACAAATGCAGACTGACAGACGACAGAATAACCCCGTAAGCAGTAAGTCCAATGCATCAGCAAGGCTAACTAAAGCCTAACACACTATCATACCAACACTTCTCTGACAGTATCGATAAAAACTGAACCGGCACCGGGAGGATTTGTTGTGGGGCTGCTGCATTGGATTAGTTTAGACTGGAAAGATGAACCTAATGAAACGGTAACTGTGTGCTGAAACATTGCAAATAATGAGATCTTTTTTCCCTCAAATGTAAGTCACTTGGTCAATAGCTACAACAGTAGATTCAACAAAATAAGAGACATCTGTGCTGATGTTTGTAAAAGCAGTCATTCACAACATAACAACATATTACCCATAGCTGAGGGGGGATTAACTAACTCGTATAATACCTGTGTAGCTCGTGTGATCTGGAAGATCTCCATGGTGCGAGTGACAATGTCCTGGACAGTCTCCTGTCCGATCCGACAGAGGAAGACAGGGGAGATCTCCCTCAGGGCTCCCTGAGGCGGCATGGGCTGCTGACCTGGGGCTGAGGCAGCACTGGGGGGCAGGTGGGGTTGCTGCTGAGAGGGCATCCCTGCCATCCCTGGCTTCTGAGGTAATGAGGCTGCCATCACCACAC